ACAACACATCAATCAGTTCACAGAACAACACATCAATCAGTTCACAGGACAACACATCCACAGAACAACACATCAATCAGTTCACAGAACAACACATCAATCAGTTCACAGAACAACACATCAATCAGTTCACAGGACAACACATCCACAGAACAACACATCAATCAGTTCACAGAACAACACATCCACAGAACAACACGTCAATTAATTCACAGAACAAGACATCAATCAGTTCACAGAACAACACATCCACAGAACAACACATCAATCAGTTCACAGGACAACACATCAATCAGTTCACAGAACAACACATCAATCAGTTCACGGGACAACACATCAATCAGTTCACAGGACAACACATCAATCAGTTCACAGGACAACACATCAATCAGTTCACGGGACAACACATCAATCAGTTCACGGGACAACACATCAATCAGTTCCATCCTCTTCTATGTTACTATCAAACAGAAAATAATGTTCTTACTAGGTCACTTTGTTTCATTTTATGCAGAAGCAAATGCATTATTTATCTAACAGTACAAGATTGGAGACAAAATTTGAATAATTATCTTATTGTTTAATTTTAGCAGGAACTTGTTCATCTGAACACAAAGATAATACACAACACAGGAGATTAGAGGCAGGGATTCACATTTTATTATACCTTATGTTGCATAACAATTATTTACATTCCTAAAAATTCCCTTTCAAGCCACATAGGTCTCCAAATCAAGGAAACAGGTAGTTTTCCTATTTCGTAGCACTTGAAGCAATCACAACTCTTTTTTCCACAAATTATTTGGCAAGTAAAAAATCTCATCATCATATGTGAAACCAGGCGCTCGGCAAAATAATCAGTTTAAAATCAGCCAGCAAATTCTTTGATATTTTTCAGTTCTGTCCCACCGTTCCGAGATCATTAAGTCCATTGTGGAAGCAGTGATTCCAAATAAAATGATTACGTATTTTTTACTTGTCAAATAATTTGTGGGAAAAAAAAGGAAGAAATAGTATAAAATAAACTGTGTGTCACGCCGCGGTGAGGCTCTCATCAACAGTTGGCCAGGTAGAGTTGTTAGTGTCATCTCTTTGAAGACGCGTCAGTGGGACACAAGTGGACAATGGCAAAGAATGGGCTGACAGAGTTTATTTGTGAGCTGACGGGAGGATCGGACCACTAGAGATGTCAGACAACAAACTTTATCTTTGATCGGAGCACTAGAGATGTCAGACAACAAACTCTATCTTTGAGCACAAGGGACCTGCCACGACACACAAACTGTGTCTTTGACACTTCCCCCACAAGTCACCTAAGACAACAGACAAACTGTGTCGTTGAAAAAGTCACCTAGACAACAAACTGTGTCATTGACAAGTCACCTAAGACAACAAACTGTGTCGTTGACAAGTCACCTAAGACAACAAACTGTGTCGTTGACAAGTCAACTAAGACAACAAACTGTGTCGTTGACAAGTCACCTAAGACAACAAACAAACTGTGTCATTGACAAGTCACCTGGAGCACTCTCAGTACGCGGTCCTGGCAGGCCAAGATGGGGGTGATTCCATTCCGTGTCTCCGTGGGCAGGCACAGGACGTCAGTGATTTTGTCGTTGCACACCACGTAGTTGATGTCCTTGCAGTCGCGGTAGTGGTTGAACACAAAGTTGCCACACACCAGGAGATCTGTGCCCTCCACATACCTGGCCACACACAACAGAGACATTTGTAAACAGAACAAGGACATTTGTAAACACAACAGGGACATTTGTAAACAGAACAGGGACATTTGTAAACAGAACAGTGACATCTGTAAACAGAACAGGGACATTTGTAAACACAACAGGGACATTTGTAAACACAACAGGGACATTTGTACTTCCAATGTAGCAGAAGTTAACGAGAACTAAAAATACCTCATATAAGAGGCAAAGATTAGAGGCAAAGATTAGAGGCACAGATTAGAGGCACAGATTAGAGGCACAGATTAGAGGCACTGATTAGAGGCACAGATTAGAGGCACAGATTAGAGGCACA